GATGATGATGATGATGATGATGATGATGATGGTGGTAGTGGTGGTGATGATTGATGCTGCTGCTGATGATGATGATGCTGATGGCGGTGATGATGATGATGCTGATGCTGCTGCTGATGATGATGATGATGATGATGATGATGCTGATGCTGATGATGACGCTGATGCGGCTGCTGCTGCTGCTGATGATGCTGATACTGTTGACGATGATGCTGCTGCTGATGATGATAATAATGATGATGCTACTGATGATTATGATGATGATGCTACTGCTGATGATGATGATGCTGATGATGATGATTATGATGATGATGATGATGATGATGATGATGCTGATGATGATGATGATGAGGAGGAGGAGTAGGAGGAGGAGGAGGAGGAGGAGGAGAAGGAGGAGGCGGAGGAGGAGGAGGAGTAGGAGGAGAAGAAGGAGGAGGAGGAGGCGGAGGAGGAGGAGGAGGAGGAAGAGGAGTAGGAAGGCAGGGAGGGATAGGGAAGAGAGCTGGAGGAGGAGGAGGAGGAGGAGGAGGAGGAGGAGGAGGAGGAGGAGGAGGAGGAGGATAGGTGGGAGGGAGGTGGGAGGGAGGGAGGGATTGTGGGTGGGACGGAGGGAGGACTGAGGAGGGAGGGGGGAAGAGAAGAGGACAGAGGGAGGTAGGGGGGGAGTTATTAGAACTTACACATAGAGGCGGAAAGCCACAGGACCAGTTCTCCAAGAGGCCGTGTCCGGTAGGTGGTTTTTTTTGTGGCTATGGACACGGGACCCCAACTCCAACGCTCGGAGGTCCTCCTTGGTGACGGGGTTGGGGACCCACTCGTGTGCCCCTGGGCCTTTAGTGAGGGAGGGAGGGAGGGAGAAAGGGAGGAAACATGTGTTGCTGGTGGCTGTGGTGGTGGTGATGGCTGTGGTGCTGCTGATGCTGATGCTGATGGTTCTGGCGGTGGCTGTGTTTGCGGGGCGGTCCCTCGCCGCCCCGCGGCGCGGCGGAGCGCGCGGGCCTGGCGCGGCCCGCGCAGGCCACCGCCACCGAGGGCGGCGCACGTGCTGCCCTCGTGGGGCCTTTGGCGCCGCCCTCGGCGCCACGGCGGCCGACGCCGGCGCGCCTTGGCCTCCCTCGGCGGCGGCGGCGCCCGCGCCCGCGCGGGAGCCGAAGGAGCGAGGCGGCCAGGGAGGCGGCGGAGGTCGTCCGTGCGCGGCGCGGGCCGGCTCGGCGGGCTGGCGCGCTCGGCGCACTTCGGGACGCGTGCCAGTGTTCATTTCGGGATTGCGATTTTCGGTTTGGGTCGCGTGCCAGTGTTTAGTCAGTTGGGGACTGTGATTTCTGGCTTGGGTCGTGTGCCAGCGTTTACTAAAGGATTCCGATCTTCGGTTTGGGTCGCGTGCCAGCGTATACTTGGGGATTACGGTTTTCGGTTTGGGTCGCGTGCCAGCGGTTACTTAGGGATTCCGATTTTCGGTTTGGGCCCTCCAAGCTGCCGCCAGCGAGCCTCATTGGGGGTCCGCCAATCCCCTCTGGCTGGCCCCGGCCACGTGGGGCCGATTTTTGCCTTTCCGCCCTCCACTGGCCCCGGGTTTGGGAGCTGCTAGGCGGCTAGCTGGGCTTCGCGACAGGGCCCTGGCCAACCTGGGTTTGGGCTGACCCGGGTTAGTGCGTCCCTAAAGGCTGGCCAGGCCGCCCTTCGGAGGCGACGATGGGGGCGAATAGTCCAGGGGCGGGCATTACGGTAGGTTCGTGCCGTGCCGACGCGGCAGCGACCCCGCCGCGGGCGTTCAAGGTTGAACGCAGCTGGTGGCCAAGACTCATCCAATATGGAACGATCTGGCGATCGCAAAGCAGCCAATCGTTCAAGGTTGAAAGATCCACGCTCCCTGCACGCATTTGCCAGGAAGCCTCGTCGAAGACGTGGACCGTCGGCGCCCCCAGACAATTACAGCCACGACGCTGAAACAAGGACCGCTTTGGGGCCGGCAGGGGCTCGCTGCTCCTTCGGTCTTTCCGTGGTTGTTGCCTTCGCCCTTCTCGTGCACCTCGGCTCTCTTGGTGGCTAAGCGGGGTGCACATCGGCTCTCTTGGTGGCTACGAGGGGGCCTAGCCCCTGAGCTGGCGTTCCTTACTTCAGCAGCCCGACAGCGCACGCACTGCTCTCCCCTCTGCGCTATTCGCCCCTGCCGCCGCCGATCCTCTGCGGGCTGCGGGGGAGGGCGCTCGCCGTGGAGGGCGGCGTGGTGCGCGGCAGGCGGCCCCCCGGCTTGCCGCAGCGTCCGCGGCGGGAGGCGGTCGTGCCCGTGCGTCCCTCCCTGCGCGGGCCCGATGGGCGGCCGCGTGGCCCGCGCTTTGGGGCTGCCGCGCGGGGCCGCCCCCGTGGCCGGCAGCAGCCCCAAACGGGGGCCTCGGGAGCGGGTCAGCCAGAGCGCCAGATCCTGCAGGATCCTGCAACGCTCGGCGGCGAGGACAGGGGCGAATAGCCCATGGGGCGGGCATTACACGTATTCACCCGGGAGCCTTTTCGAAGACATGGAGCATCGGCGCACCTGAATACATGTATTGTTTCCCCTTGGCTATTCGCCCCTGCCGTCGCCTCTGAAACGCCAGGGTTGCATCGACCCAGGCTAGCGCGCATGATCCTGCAGGATCCTGCAGGGTTCTTCAGCACCCTGCAAAGGTCGACTGGCCCGAGTCTGCATCGACTCTGGTCAGTGGATCCCCGAATTCCGTGCGCCTGAAGCGCGAGGCATGCAGCCAGGGGATGTGGCAGGCCCTCCGCCTCCTCTGGGTGTGCAGCCTCTCGTCGCTGCGCGGGCGCAGTGCATGGAGGAGGAAGGGGAGGAGCAGGAGGAGGAGGAGGAGGAGGAGGAGGAGGAGGAGGAGGAGGAGGAGGAGGAGGAGGAGGAGGAGGAGGGGCTCCACTGTTGCCCGACGCCGTGGCTGCCTGTCTTCGAGGCGGCCTGGTGCGTCAAACCGCCTCTGCTGGCGTGCAGCGAGTCATTGGATGGCACCCTGCCGCCAGTGAAGCAGTGTGGCGCACTATGCGAGTTGGCGAGGTCCGCCGAGGGCTTGGATTTCCGTGGCAAACTGCTTTTGGCGGGATCAGACGAGGTGGACCTGACGAGGGCGCGTTTCGAAGGGCACGGCCGAATGGTGCGGGGCTACCGGGTTCGGAACTTGCGCGAGTTCTTGTCATTGCATTCATTGCCTTCATTTTCAAGACCTTCATTTCATCTGGATGTTATGCCGATGCGCCGTCCAGGCGCGGCTCCTTGTGTGTGTGTGTGTGTGTGCGTGTGTCTGTGTTTGCTAGCGCCAGTTGAGGTCCGCGTCGCAGCGACTCGTAGGAGGCGCAGTGTCGCTCAGCTTCGAGCTTCACCGGGGGTTCGAGCCCAACTTTTGCGTCGGCGGCTAGGCGCGTCCGATGGCTCGGTGGGGAACGCGCTCACGAAAGCCAAACTGCAGCAAAACTGCAGCACCTCTGGGCTTCTAGCTAGTGCTCGGCGTGGCTCCCCCGGCTCGCGCGTCGTGCCTCCCGTGCGGCGCACGTGGTGCATCGGGTGCTCGGCCCCCTGCGCCGCCCTCGTGCCGGAATGGTTTGCTACCCCGCGGCCGAGGGGCAAGCCGACGAGGCTCCACCGGAGCGAGCCGCGCGCGCATCGCGGCAGGGTGCTGCTGCTGTTGCGGACCCTGCTGCCGCTGCAGTTGCTCGTGGCGCGGGCGGCCTGCCTGCGCACGTCGCACCAGCGCCCCGCCCGGCGCAGGACGGCCACTGCGCCCTGCGCTCCCCGGCGTGCACATACGGCGCGCCGCTTCGCAGGGGTACGCGGCTGGGCCGGGCGCCCGCGCCTGCGCCCGCTCTGCCGACGATGCCGCCGCCACGGCGAGCGTGCGCCCATCCTCTGAAGGCAGGCGCGCGTGCGCGGCGCGCCTCGGCTTGCGCGGTGGCGCTGTGCAAGCAGTGGGCGGACGTGGCCGCCTGGCCGATGGCTGCTCTCGCCTGGAGGGCAGTCGCCTGGAGCAGAGCTTTGTCGGCGATCTGTCCCTGCTCCCTCCTCCCTGCCGAGAGGGAGGACTCCTGGGGTACCCCCAGAGACCTCCAGAGGCACCCGGAGACTTCCCTAGGCTGTGAAATTTGCAAACCTGTCCAAAAGTCAGATCCTTAAATGATCATCGCCCCCCTTCGTCGCTTGGTAGCCACAAGTGAACCCCACCACTAGTGCCCATCGATTCGGACCAGCGGGGGCTCACCAGCGCGGCTCTGAGACCCCTCTGGTGAATTCCTACGGGCCCATAATATATCGATGGGCAGTCGGGGTGCTTTGCGTTCCATACGAAACTCTGGGGGGGATGCCACCCCAGCCGACATCCCCAGATCGACCCCCGTCGCGGATAACCACCTCGCGCCGAAAGGTTCCCCAACGCACGGCGCGGTGCGCTGACGAGGCGAGGTTGAACCCCCCCCTCGGGGGACCCCCCTGCTTATCGCCGAACGCAGAGGAGGGTTCACACGTGGCTGCCGCCAAGCGCCCCCTTCTCTGCGTGTTGTGCCGCGCCCGCCAGCGGCCTGGTTGAGACACGGCGCAAGGTTGCCGCGTCGACGAGAGCAAGGCGCCCTCCCCTTCGTCCTCCTCCTGCTCCTCATCCTATCTGCTCAGTTACCTAAGCCTCACCTACTCCTCCTCCATCATGATAAATAACTCCTATACTTATGCTCCTCCACTCACTCCTCCCGCCGTCCCCTCCTGTATCTGCTCTTCCTCCTCCTCCATCCTCCTCCTCATCCATCGATCCTGCTCTCCTCCGATTACGCTACTCCTCCTCCTCCTCCTCCTCCTCCTCCTCCTCCTCCTCCAACTCCTCCAACTCCTCCTCCCCCACTATTTCTCCTTTTCTTGCCGCCACCGCTCACGCGGCCGCCCAGACCGCCTCTTTGAGCCCCAAAGGGCTGCTCCAGGGGCCCTCCAGCCTGCCGCGAGCCCGCCCGCTGGCCGCCGCCTCTTCTGCGGCCCCATGGCTGCGCGCGCTGGCGGCGACGCCCACCCTGCCGTCGTCCGCCTCGGGGGGCCCTCCCTGCGCGACCGCCGAAACAAGAGCCGCAGCCGTCGTTGCCGTTGACACCGCCTTCGTGGGCGCCGTCGGCGCCGGCGCCGTCGCCGTCGGCGCCGTCGCCGTCGCCGTCGCCGTCGCCGTCGCCATCGCCGTCGCCGTTGTCGTCGTCGTCGTCGTCGTCGTCGTCGTCGTCGTCGTCGTCGTCGTCTTCGTCGTCGTCGTCGCCGCCGCCGCCGCCGCCGCCGCCGCCGCCGCTGTCGTCGTCGTCGTTCATTGTATATTTCTCTTTCTCTCCATTCTCGTCTGCCTCCTCCTCATCCTCATCCTCTTCCTCTTCCTTTTCCTCCACCTTTTCCTCCTCCTGCTTTCACTCTTCGTTGTTCCTCCACCTCTTCCTCCTACCTCCCCCCTCCTCATCCTCCTGCTCCTCCTCCTCCTCATCCTCCTACTCCTCCTTCTTCTTCTCCTTGTCCTTCTCCTTCTCCTCCTTCTCCTCCTTCTCCTTCTGCTTCTGCTTCCGCTCGCTCACCCTTATCTAGCTCATCTTCTCTCTTGGGGGCATTTTGGGGGAATGCTGGGGGTCTTGAAGGCCATCTTTGGTGGGGGAGGGGGGCTTCCGGAGCCCCTTATGGATTCCCCCTCTGGGCCTCTCCTGGGCCTCTCTTGGGAGCTCAGTCGCCCGTCTTGGGGGCCTCTTGGGCAGTCATGGGGCCGTCCTCTCTCTCTCTCTCTCTCTTTCTGGCTCCTCCTCCTCCTCCTCCTTCTCCTCCTGTCTCCCCCTCCTCCTCCTCCTCCTCCTCTTCCTTCCCTCCTCCTCCTCCTCCTCCTCCTCCTCTGCACCCCCTCCTCCTCCCCCTCTCACCCTCCTCCTCCTCCTCCTCCTTTCCCCCTCCTGCTCATCCTCCTCCTCCTCCTCCTCTCCTCCTCCTCTCCTCCTCCTCCTCCTCCCTTCCTCCTTCTCCTCCTCCTCCTCCTCCTCCTTCTCCTCCTCCTCCTCCTCCCCCCTCCTTATCTCCTCCTCCTCCTCCTCTCTCCCTTTTCCTCCTCTCCTTTTCCTCCTCCTCACCTTCTCCTTCTCTTCTCCTCCTCTCCTTCCTCCTGGCTCTCCTCCTCCCCTCCTTTCTCCTCCTCCTGCTCCTCCTCCTCCCCCTCCCAGAGAAGGAGCAGCCACGACATGCTGGTGAGCCTGCAGAGCGCGGGCGCCGACTGGCGGGGCGTCGGGCCCGCCGATGGCGACTCCGACGGCGACGCCGACGGGGAAGGCCCGCAGAGGCCCGTGCTGCGCGTGAAGAGCCGAAGAGGCGCGGCGGCTCGCAGGGGGGTGGCGTGGGCCGAGGGCGCGGCTTTCGAGGGGGTCGACCTCCTTCTCTTCCTCCTCCCTCCTCCCTCCTTTCCTCCTATCCCCTCCTCCCTCCTTCTTTTTCCTCCTCCTCCTCCTGTTCCTCCTCCTCCTCCTCCTCCCTCCTCCTCCGCCTCTTACCCTGTTTCCCTTTCTCCTCCCTCCTTCCCTCTGTCTTTTTCCTGCTGCTGCTGCTGCTACTGCTGCTCCTCCTCCTCCTCCTCCAGCTCCCTGCGTCCCTCCTCCTCCTCCTCCTCCTCATTCTCTTCCTCCTCTGTTTCCCTTTCTCCTCACCCATCCCTCCCTCCCTCTTCCTTTCCCGGTCTTTTCCTCCTCCTCCTCCTCCTCCTCCTCTCTTTTCCTCCTCCTGCTTCTCCTCCTCCTCCTCGTCCTCCTCGTCCTCTTGATGCTGATGGTACGGGCACGTTTGAGCAAGCTCTTCCTCCTCCTCCTCCTCCTCCTCTTCCTTGTCCTCGTTTCCGTCCTCCTCCTCCCTTTTCCTCTTCCAGCTCGTTCTCCTCCTCCTCGTCCTCCTCGTCGTCCTCTTGATGCTGATGGTACGGGCACGTGTGTGCAAGCTCCTCCTCCTCCTCCTTCTCCTTGTCCTCGTTTCCGTCCTCCTCCTCGTCCTCCCCCTCCCTGCCTCCCGCCTCTCCCTCCTCCTCCGCCTGCTCCTCCTTCTCCTCCGCCTCCTCCTCCTCCTTTCGTCACTCATCCGCCTCCTCCTCCTCTCCCTCCTCCTCCTCCTCCTCCTTCTCTTCTCTCCCCCAGGATTCTTCCTTGTTTCATCCCTTCCTCCGTCCCCCCCCCTCTCTCCTCCTCTAATCGAACGTTCTATCATGCATAGTGTCCTCCGAGAGAGAAAGTACCACACGCTGCATGGGACTTTGAGCTTGAGAGTAGTCTCCCTGTTCCGCTGCCGTTTTGTTATGTGGCACGTTCGGTTGACCTGGCGTGTCCGTCTTATACGCGTTTTATCCCTACTCTCGTCTTATTTATTGCACCGACCTCTCGCCGCCAGCCATAACCCGCGAGGCTCTCCACCGTATTCGCGGCGAGCGTACATCCTGTATGTGCTCTTTCCGCATCGTGATCATGCTGGTCACTCGCCCCGGCAGGCGCCGTGCCTCGTCTTCATGGCCTTCGTTTGTGAGTGCCGCCGTCAGTCTCAGACCGTCGAGCGACCCGACTTCACGCTCACGGCGTCGGCACATGGCCCCAGGCTGTCCGCAATTCTGTTGCGGAAGCACGCGGGAGAAACGACAAAGGACGCATCGCCTTCTACGCATCCCCATGTGGGTGTAGCCGTCCATGTCAAGCAGTCGTTCGGTCCGACGCTCACATCGTCGGCATCGGCAAGGCATCCCGATTTGTCCGCAACTAGGTTGCAGAAGCCGGCGGAAGCGCGTGCAGGAAAGAGCGGGAACGCAGAGGAGGGTCGGGGTACTATGTTGCCATCCTTCCTGTAGACCGTTACATAATATTGGGACTACTCGTTATCGGTTCCCTGGGACATGACTCTCAACGTTTCCCACGCATCCCCTGCTTCCTGGCAGACCTGGATCCATCTGGATCCTCATGCGTACTCCTCTGGACTATCGAATCGTTGGCCGTGCTCAGTACAGTGACCATACGACGCGCGACGAGTTTTTCCACCACTGTGTGGCGGAGTGTCCGAGAGCAATCAGAACGCCTACCGCGCGACAGAACAGAAGACCCAATGCGCTGATGAGGAGGGGCATGCCAGGGACAGATGCCCACGACGGCTCAGAGGCCATTGCCGAATCATCGCAGCTGGTGAGTATAAGGGCTGTCGCGCCTCCTCGACACCTGGATGGGGCTCCGCTCTGGATGGAAGGCCGTCGGGGTGGGCGTTGTCGCTGCCGTCCGCTGCATCGCCTGCGCGGGCGCGGGCGGCGGCGGCGGCAGCAACGTGCCACGCCTCCGCGCCTGGGGGCCAGAGCAGCAGGTTCGCGTGCCCTTCTAATCTTTGGCGCGGGGGGTAATGATTTGGTCAATGGCGAACTCAGACCTTGACGAGTTCCGCCGCGCGGCCGACGTCGTCTCGCCTGACCAGCATGGCTCGCGAGGGCGTGGGCGAATGGCCGCTTGCTGTCCTCGTCCAAGGTGGCCGCGTCAACGGCGACCCAGTGCCGCCCATGACATACCTCGCGCGCGGCCTGGCAGAACGGCGGGGCCAGCTCGGGGAGGAGGGGCGCGCTCAAGCGGTATCGTCTCTGATGAATTTCAACCGATTGCCGCAGGAACGCGTCGGCCACATCCTCGCCAGGTTCGACAACCTCCGCAGCAGAGCGCAACAGGCCGGTCAACTCATGTCAACTCATGATCGGCTACGAGATCCCCAGCTACCTCTCGCTGCGCGCGGTGGGTGCGTCGAACATCCAGCTCGCCCTGATCCCGCAGCGCTGCGACATGACCAGCCCGACGGACGCGCCTCAGCTGGCGCGCAGGATTGGCCAGCTACGCAGATTTGGACATGACCGATGGCTCGCCGGGCAATCTCGCCTCGGCCGCGCATTCGCCCCAGCGCCTAGCGTTTCACACGGGTGCGCCCACGCGCAGTCAGGATCAGAGTCTCTATGGCGCTGGGGCGGGATCGAGCTGCGATGGCATGGGCCCTTCAGCCCTGGGGGCGCCACCGGGCCCACCATCGGCGCCGTTGGCCGCCCGCGCCAACGCGGCAGCATCACCTCGACTCTGGTGCTGACTCCGACGCCGTCGGCTCATTCGGCGAAGAAATCGCCGCCGACGACCCCGCGCTGCGCGAATTTCTCACGGGGCAGCGCGGCGCAGATTTCTCGGGGGCTTTCGAGCGCGCCAAGTCCCGGCGGCGCCGCTTCAATGACAACGAGTCTGCGCGCCTCGCGCGGAGGGTCATCAAGCGCAAGAGCAATGGCCATGGGAAGGGCTACCGCGTCTTCCTTGCCGACTTGTCCGGCAACGGCCCCCGCGAAACCTTTGCTGGCTCCGGGGGGGGGGGGGGGGGGGGGGGGGGGGGGGCAGGGATATGGGAAAAGGCGAGCGTCGGACAGGTGGGCTGGGATTTGGCCGAGAAGGCAACCCACTGGGCCAGGGCGGGGCGCGTCTCAAGTGCCGCGGGTGCGACTCGGAGGAGCGCCTCGTGCGCGACTGCCCACGTCGGCGCTGGACCCCTGGGGCGGCGGCCAGCCAGCCCCAATTTCGGCGGTTGGGCGGCCAGCGCCAACAGCAGCAGCTCCTAGTGCTTCGTCCGACGGCCCCTGGCAGGGAGCTGGTCAGAACCATTGGTCAAGTTGGGCGGGTAGTCGCATCGTCGTCGTCATCGGCTTCGCCCAACCCTCATGGGGTCGAACTTCGGCGACTGCGCCATGAGATGGACGGCCTCGCGAGCCGCGCGCGCCAGGATTTGCCTCAACTGGCCTTTAGGCCAACTGCGTTGCCATCCGGCGCGGCAGGAGTGGGGCACGCAGCACCCGCGGCAGCTGCGGCATCCGCAGCCCCAGCAGCATCCGCAGTTCCGCCGTCATCGACGCCACAGCGCTGGGCCGGAGTGGCCCGTGCTTTGCCGCTGGGGCCACAGCGAAGGCGCGATTGGGCACGCGACATCCATGCCCGAGTCGCTATGCCAGCGCCCCCACTTGCCGATGTGCAGTGTGCCGAGCTGGGCCTACATGTCATCCATCCCAGCACTCGGCATCAGCGCGCCATATAGATTGATCTCCACGTGGCCATCGCAGTCCGCGCGGGTACCCGTGTCACCACCGATGGCGGAGTCTTCCAACGATCTGGCTCTCTCAAACCAGCACCAGCACGTGCCCGTTGACGTGAGCCAGCCGTCTGGGAGGGTGGCCATGTGGTTCGCCATTCGCGACTCCTGGATTTCCAGCGGCGTGCGATCCGAACGCGGAGTAGGCTCCGCACTCGTCCACGCACAACGACGAAATTTCAAGCTTCCACAGCGCCCAGCATGTACTTGAGTTCTTGCGACAGCAGGACGAGCAGCGTGGGCGAACCGCACAACATGTGGACATAAACACTTGCTAATCCACGTTCTCTTCCTGCAGCAGCACTCACTGCGCCCTGCGTCGCGGTTCTCAGCGACGACGACAGGCGATGTCCTGTATGTCTAGAGGCACTTGCACATGGTGATCGAGTTGTTGATCGAGTTGTACGACTACAGTCGCGCGCTACCAGAAACGCGCTGCGCAGGTGCATTGCGCGAATACGCTTCGCAAGTCCACTGCGCGACGCGCCCCCTCCCGCGCCCAGGCGCGGCGCGGCGCGGCGCGGCGCATCAACAAGGAACAGTAAGCAGCAAGAAGCATAACTGTAACAAGGAACAGTCAGCAGCAAGAAGCATGACTGTAACAGTGGAAACTGGAAGCTGCAACTGGCACAGGAGACTTCGAAGCTTAGGCCTACAGCCTGGTGGCCCCACAAGGGGGCCGGCGGAATTCAATGGTTCTGTTGGTTGCCGTCACAGAAGTCGTGTTTTGGCACGATGTAGGCCTGTCTGGGCGAAGCAGTTACGTTGATTCGCGGTGTTCATGTCTCATGAATGGAGTTCTGGTGCCATTCAGGGTCGTCAGGACGGAACAATAACGGTGATTCGCAGCGTTGAGATCCCAGGGATGGTGTTCTAGTGCCCATCGGGATTTTCAGGCGAATATTTTCCAACGGGGCATTTCTTTCAGTGAAAATGAACCCTTGTAGGGACCTGTGAAGGAGGAACTCGGAGGGAGGGTTAATTGCAACATCGTTGATGGGTGTTGGGATTACACAGGTTCTGCTCCTCCTCCGTCCTCCTCCCCCTCCGTCTGGAAATTGGTTATGATCGGATTGAAGTTGGGGAACAAGGCGCGATGTTGGACGCATTTGGTGCCTTTTCGGGCCTCTGTGATGGCCCCTGGATTCTCTTGGAAATTCAGGTCCACATGCACCCTATGGAGAGGCGCCCCTGCTCTCTGAGAGGCCTTCTCTAGGGCCCTTCCGAAGGCCCTCCCGTGCCGCCTGAGCGACGCCCGAAACAAAGAGGTCGCCTTGCCGACGTTGGCGCGTAAGTTGCCCGCGAAAGGTATGCAATCGCCCTCGTCTCCATTGTGGCCTGCCGCGCTGGCGGCCCGCGTAAGCTGCGGCGCAAGGTCGCTGTGCCATCTCGCGGAAGGCCCGCTTTTGATCGTCGCTCACCTGGAAGCCTGCCCCCTTCGCCCTGGCCCCCCCCCCTCTGCGCGCCACCAAGAGGCCACGAGGGTGCGATGCTCGGCCCCGGGCGGTCGGGTGAGAGAGCGTATCCCCCCGCCCACACTTCCGCCGCCGCCACCGTCTCCACCGTCGCCGCCGTCGCCGCCGTCGCCGCTGTCGTCGTCGTCGCTGTCGTCGTCGTCGTCGTCGTCGTCGTCGTCGTCGTCGTCGTCGTCGTCGTCGTTGTCGTCGTCGTCGTCGTCGTCGTCGTCGTCTTCGTCGTCGTCGTCGCCTCCTCCCCTGACATCCGGGGCGTCGCGAGCACAGCCACGACGCACCGTCCCCCGCCCCGACCTCGGGGCCGCACAGGCTCCTCGTGGACCGGCCGGGCTCGAAGAAGTCTACACCTTAGGCGATGCTTAAGAAAACTTAAGTTTTCGGCCAGAGTCTCGATGATTCTTAATGTTTCGATGTGAATCCTAACATTTTAATAGAAATATTGGGTTTTTATCCAAGTTCTGAGACTATGAGTTTCTTAACCCATGATTTCTTAAGCATTTCGCAGGGTCTACGCAGGAAGAGCGGGGTCGATCGCCCCCGTTCGGGATTTTTCGGTGGCGGTGCGCCTTTTGCCAAGGCGCCAGATCGCGTGGGGCCCAGGAGCCCGGTGCATGCCGACCCCCAGCCGGGCCAGGAGGCCATTGCAGGACGGTGCGTTTTTTGTCCACGACGTCGGATCTCGGGGTGAAGTGTGCGCACCGTTTCCAGGCCTCCGCAGGCCCCAGTCTGGGCCCAGAAGCGTGGTGCATGTCGACCCCTGGCCAGGCCAGGAGGCCAAGGTCTGGGCCCACAGTGGGCCCGCGGAAGCCTGGTGGTCCTGTCGGGCGAAACAGGGGGGGAATCGGGAGAGGGGGTGGATCACGAAGCCTGCTGCATGCATCGGCCCCGCGCAGAGGGGGGTAGGGGGAGGGGGAAAGGCCTCTTAGAAGCACCCCTGCTTCTTAGAAGGCGCTGGCGGTATCTATAGATGTCATACCGGGGCCTCTAAGAAGCAGGGTGCTCCTAAGAAGCCTTCCCCCCTGCCCGTATCCCCTCTTGCGCGCCGCCAAATGCAGCGGGTTTCGGCCCTGCCGCCAGGCGCCTTCTTCGATACATGGGCGCCTCTTTCGCCGGAAGCGCCAGGAAACTCGGCCACGGTCGGGAACTTTGGCTCAGCCGCGGCGCTCCGCCAGGTCTGGCACACCGCGCCTCGGCCCGACCCGCTGTCCGCGTCGCGGTCTCTGATCGTCAGCGTCCCGAGCTTTCCCAGCCTCTGGCCCCGAGGAGCGGAGCGACACGCTATCCGCTCGCATGGCATGGCGTGTCGCCGGGGCCGCCGCCGCGACACGCTGAGCACGAGTTCCAGACCGTAGGTGAGCTGATTCGCGAACCCTCTCGGTGCTATCCCCCCCTTTCGTCCGACCCGAGCTTAGCTGCCTCGATACGCCCATTTTGAAGTGCAACACGTGCCGTTCTTAAAACGTCCGTGTCAATACGCTGCGTGTTGGCTCAGCGTATTGGCCCACGTTTTGGCGAAAGTATCGCGTCAGATCTACGTTTTCAGCCTACGTCTTGAGCTCCGGATCAATTCGCTACGTATTGCGTGTTGCGTATCGGGACGGCTAAGGACCCGAGTGGCGGTGGGTATTCTCGCTCTCTCCAGGTGGGAGCCCGCGCACCGCCCCCCGCGCGTCCTGATGGTGTCAAGGCGGTACTTGAGAAAAAACAAGTACGTCGACATCATTGGGGAATATCACATGGAGCTCGTTCAGCAATTCGGCGGAGCGCCCATCATTATCCCGAGGACCATCCGCAGATGGAGGAGGAGAAGAAGGAGGAGGAGGAAGAGCAGATGGAGGAGGAGGAGGAGGAGGAGGAGGACGACAACAGCCGCTCACCGCTCGGAGCCACCTTAGCCTCAGCTCAGCACCTTCGCACTTCCGCCCTTAGTTCCTTCGCTCCACATCTCACGCTGCCAAGCCTCAGGTGCCGCCTCCGCTGCTTTGCCTCACCTAGCCTGCCTTTCGGCCTCTCGCGTGGCAGCCGCCACCAACTTGCGGGGGGGTGCGATTAGTCTGGAAGGGGCGGGGAGAGTGGGCACATGCAGCGCTCCTGCTATAATAGGGGCCACCACCATCTTGGCGAGCGTGGCCCTAGCGACGCTTGCGCACCCACTCTCACCGCTTGCCACCACGCCTTTCCTGTCACGCCACCACACCATCTCACCCCCCCTCCTCCCTGTGGTGCGCATCCACCTCCACCGCTTTGCCTGACCGAGCCGGTCTTCAGCCTCTCACGTTGCGGCCGCCACCAACTTGCACGGGGGGTTCGGTAAGTATGGATGGGTTGGGTTGGGGGGAGGATGCATCACTCTTGCCACAAGAGGGGCTAACGCCACGGGCATGGCGTAGACCTCCCCTTGCCTGGTGGTGATCCCTGGGTGGCCCCCAGTCGCGCCCATGGTATCCCTTCACTCGCCTCGGCGGGTGAGGGGTCCCTGGCCGCGACTAGGGGTCGTCTCCTTAGGATCCCCGATGGGTGAGGGGAGAGGCCCTTACGCCATGCAGCCTCTGGCGACTCTGGCCCCCACCACTCTTGCGCACCCACTCTCACCACTTGCCACCACGCCCTTGCCGCCGCACAGCCGCTGCTTCCCCACTCTTCCCCTCTCTTTTCATGTATCGCCGTTCGTCGTCCTTCCTCCCCACCAAGGGGCGTCGGAGGACCCAGCTACTCCGCCGGGGGGGGTCTCCTTCCTGCTGAGTCGCATCCTATTCTTATTTCTGCAGCGTAATTTGCTCCCGCCCCCGCCCCAGGTGCAATGACTCATTGGGGGCGACGGTCCCAGGGGGTGGATGGCAGCGTCAGGATGTCACGTTTGCCACAAGATCCCAGATCCCCTGAGGAGGACGAGGAAGGAGCATGGAGGAGGAGGAGGAGGAGGAGGAGGAGGAGGAGGAGGAGGAGGAGGAGCATGAGCTGGAGGAGGAGTGCACCACCACCGTGCCTGGCCAGGGCTGCCCCGTGCCACAGGACGGGGTGCAGGCGCTCCTGGCCTCGGCTGGGCGGGAGCGCACACCACGCCAGAGGGCCCAGGGTCGCACTGACCAGGCGCGGTGGCGGTGTGCAGGTGCCTTCAGCGTAGGACCGCCCTGACGGTGGCGCACAGACACACGTAATCGTCGATCCCCAGGAAGATATGGGAAATATAGGAAGCGGAGGGGAAGACGAGAATCCAGAAAATATGGAAACATACGGGGAGTCCTTGGATTTGTATCTATTTGATTGCGTGTCCCTGGGCCCCTGTATAGGACCACTCTGACAGTGGCGCACCTGACCGAGTTCCTGCCGATGGACGGGCTCCTCGTGGCAGAGGGTAACGACCTGTCTTCGGACATCCTCGCCAGGTACGGCTGCAAAGCTCCGGCGCCGCAGGAGCCCAGTTTGTCCGTCAGCGTCGGCCCCCGAAACCCCTACCGGGTGTGCGGAGCACGGGGGTAAGGGAAGGGAGGTCACAGCGCCAACCTAAGAAATCGGCGTGAACCTCCGAAGATGTTGTTCGTGTGTGTTCGCTGCCGGCGTGTGTTCTTCCCAGCCCCTGTAGCTTCCAAGACCTGGGAATACTCAGACCCCCCGCAACTCGAGCCAGACGCCCCCAGGCGCCGCCCATGTGGTGCGGGATGGGCCTGGAGTGCCTGTGGCGCCTAGTGTGCCAGGGGTGCCTGGGGTGCTCGGTGTCCCTGGGGATGCCTGGGGTGCCTGGGAAAGCTTGGGCGTGGAGGTGCCACAGTGCCGCCCCCCACGGCACTGCCACGGCGCCGCAGGACCCCGCAGTGGCAGAGAAGTATGCCAGCGACGCGGAGTTCGATCACACCAAGGATGAGCTGGAGTTTGCCCTCATGAGATTCGCGCTGGCCACCGGTTGCCCAATTCTCGCCATCTGCCGCGGCAGCCAGATGCTGAGCGCCTTGCGCGGAGGCACGCTGATCAACGACATCGAGTCGGAGGTGCCAGGCTGCGTCACACACCACCGCGGCTCAGACCATCCCGAGTACGACAGCGGGCGCCACCCCATCAAGGTGCTCCCGGACACTCCACTTGCCCGCTGGTTCTCGCGGGCGGAAAGCATGTCCATATCCATGGCCTCGCGGTCCAGATTCCTCGGCCGCGACACCATGGATGCAGGGCGTCCTTGCGAGGATGTCCCCCGCACAGAACAAATCCATGGGATTCCGTATCCGTGGGATCGCGCCTCGGTGTGCAGACCGCCACGGCATGCATGTGGGTACGTCCACTGCTCGTGAGGTTCTCGGAGTCCCTGGGCGAAGCCAGCGAGCTGCAGGTGAACTCCTATCACCACCAGGGCGTGAAGGAGCTCGGCGATGGCCTGGCGCCCATGGCGCACGCCCCAGACGGCGTTCTCGAGGGCTTCTACGACACCTCCCACGACCCGGCCGCGGGCAGGTTCGCCGTCGGCCTGCAGTTCCACCCAGAGCGCATGCTGCCGGACTACCCTGGGTGCCGCAACGTCTCGGGCGTCGCTTAATAGAGGGCGATAAATGGGGGGGCAGCGAGGGCTGGAGAAGAGGAGCCCTTCAGGACCCCTGAAGTGGCCCTGTCGGGCCCAATAGGGTGCTTTTAGGCCCGAGAAGTGCACCTTTCTTCCCCCCTCCATGTATCGCCCCCCCGTTCAGCGATGCCCAAACGTCTACATGGAGTTTGGCCAGGCGTGCGCCGCGTACAAGGCGAGTCAGGACGCCGCGTTCCGGGAGGGCGCTGCCTGAGCAGGCGTCCCTCGCTCGCGCGCTCTTGGACGGAGCTCTGGCCGACACCCACCGCCATTTCCTCGGGGCGGAGTTGGCTAGCTCCAACTCGCAACTCCTCGTTTTGCCCTCCTAACCCCCTCCCCCCAATTCCCTTCTCCTCCTCCTCCTCCTCCTCCTCCTTCTCCTCCTCCTCCTCCGCCTCCTCGGACTTGCCACGGCCTCACCCACCTGTTCCTGGCTAGGCCAGGGCGGTTTTCCGCAGCGTTGGTCGCTCGCTTTCTCCTCCTCCTCCTCCTCCTGCTGGGGGCATGGGGGTTCGGTCAGTTCTACTATACGTTTAGCCAGCTCCTTGGTTTAGCCTCCACCTCCTCCTCCTCCGTCTCCTCCCTCTGTCTCTCTCTCTTTCTCTCTCTCTCTCTCTCTCTCTCTCTCTCTCCCCCCCTCGGTCGCTCGGTCTATCCTGTCTTTCCCCCTCTGTTCTCGCTTAGCTTCCTCCTCCCTCCCTCCCTCCCTCCCTCCCTCCCTCCCTCCCTCACTCTCTCCCCCTTCCCCTCCCTCCTCTATGTACAACTAAGCAATATGAATACTACTCTCCTCGTCCCCTTTACTCCTTGCGGAAGATGCTGGGCCTTGTCCGCGTGCTGCTCTTTTACACGGGATTTAAAACGTTGTGTTTCTTATGTGTTGTTTACAATCCGATTGTTTCCAGTGTTTCAAAATTGTACTCCCGCTGCAGCGTGGGCCTCATTTTCGAACCGGTACTTGGCTCTCGCTCGTCGTTGAGAATGGTGCCCTGCTGCCCAGCGCGGGCCACTTTTATGGATCCGAGACGTTCTTCATTGTTGTTGCCCCCCTCATTTCCCCTTCCCCGCCTTCCCCTGGTCCTCCTGTTCCTCCCGCTCCTTCCACTCCAGTTTCTTCTGCTGCTGTTCGTCCTTCTCCTCCCGCTCATCCTCCTGCTCACCCGCTACCTCCTCCTCCTTCTCCTCCTCCTCCTCCTCCTCCTCCTCCTGTGCACGCAGCTCCCCTTTTCCCGATTGCGCACGACATGATGTGGTCTTTTGGCTGGAGATGCAGTTCGGCTATGACACGCGTTCGCGGATTGAGAAAACATCAGAGCAATGTAAAGGGATGAGAGGAAGGTGTAGGATGTCAGACATGGCGCGGGCGCACCTGGCTTGTCCCTCCCCCCTCTCTCTCTCTCTCTCTCTCTCTCTCTCCCCCCCTTCTCTGTCACTCCGTGTCAACTCTCTCTCCCCTCGCTGGGACTCCGCCGAGCGCGCGGCGGGGTTCCGCCCTGCGGCTGGCTCGCCGCTCGGGCGAGGGGGGGGCTCTGCTGGTTGCTCGTCGCCCGTCGGGGCAGGCCGGGTAACGCCCGCCGCTCGTCGCGCTTCTGCTTCAGAGGAGCTCCGCTGCGACCATCGGCTCTGCCGGTGAGCTGTCTGCTCAGTCAGGCTCCGCGCAGCGCTTCCAACATTATTGTTTCAAGTGCGTGTTCTTCTGCGGAGGAGGAGGAGGAGGAGGAGGAGGAGGAGGAGGAGGAGGAGGAAACGGATGAATAGAAGGGACGGATGAGGAAGAGGAGGCGGAGGAGGAGGCGGAGGCGGATGCGGAGGAGGAGGAGGAGGAGGAGGTTGAGGAGGAGGAGGAGGAGGAAGAGGAGGAGGAGGAGGAGGAGGAGGAGAAGGAGAAGGAGGAGCAGGAGGAGGAGGAGACGGAGGCGGAGGCGCAGGCGGAGGAGGAGGCGCAGGCGGAGGCGGAGGCGGAGGTGGAGGCTGAGGAGGTGGAGGAGCGTGGATGGGAGGTTGCCAGCGGCACGCTTCTGCTGCGAGAGTGCGAATGTGGATCACATTATAGCTACGTGCGTCTGCCGCGGCCAGGGCAAGGGCTGGAAGAGTCATTGCAACACCACTGCTCACATTCTGAAAGTCACAGCCCCTGGACTTCGAAGCACCACTGGAATACGTCGAAGCCCCTGGGACGTTGATGACAGGATAGGCGGGAGAGAGGGAGGGAGGAAGGAGGAGGAGGATGACGAGGAGGAGGAGGAAGGAGGAGGAGGAGGGGGAGGAGGAGGAAGGAGAAGGAGGAGGAGAAGGAGGAGGAGGAGGAGGACGAGGACGAGGCAGAGGAAGAGGAAGAGGATGATGATGATGATGATGATGATGATGATGATGATGATGATGATGATGATGATGATGATGATGATGATGATGATGGTGGTGGTGGTGGTGGTGGTGGTGGTCGTGGTGCTGGTGGTGATGTGATGCTGCTGATGATGATGATGACGATGATGATGCTGATGCTGATGCTGATGCTGATGCTGATGTTGCTGCGGCTGCTGCTGATGATGATGAAGCCGATGCTGGTGATGACGACGAAGACACTGACGACTATGGTGATTATGCTGATGGTGATGCTGATTATGATGATGAATATGATGATGTTGGTGATGCTGCTGATGATGATGATGGTGATGATGAGGACCATGCTGTTGATGATGCTGCTGATGCTGATGATGCTGCTACTGATGATGATGCTGATGCTGCTGCTGATGATGATGACGATGCTGATGATACTGATAATGATTCTGCTGATGCTGATGATGATGACGATGATGGTAACGACGATGATGGTGGTGATGACGATGATGGTGATGACGACGCTGATGATGCTGCTGATGATGATGCTGATGATGCTTATGATGGTGCGTATGATGGTGCTTATGATGATGATGATGATGATGATGATGATGATGATGCTGATTGTGATGATAAGGATGCTGATGATGATGATGATTATGATGATGCTGATCATGATGATGGTGATGATGGTGCTGATGATGATGCTGATGATGATGACGGTGATGCTGGTGCTGATGACGTCGTTGATGAAGACTATGGTGCTGATGATGTTGAGGGTGATGATGATGAAGGTAATTATGATGACGATGCTGATGCTGATGCTGATGCTGATGCTGATGCTGACGCTGCTGCTGATGGTACTGCTGCTGATGGTGCTGAAGATGAAGATGCTGAAGATGAAGATGATGATGATGATGATGATGATGATGATGATGATGATGATGACCATGACGATTATAGTCGTGATGACGGTGCTGCTGCTGATGATGATGATGCTGACCCAGACGATTATGACCGTGACGATGACGATGATGACGATGATGATGAGGATGATGATAATGATGATGACGATGATGGTGGTGGTGATGGTGATGGTGATGGTGATGATGGTGCTGCTGAGAATGATGATGCTGCTGATGATGATGCTGAGGCTGAGGCTGATGATGATGATGATGATGATGATGATGATGATTATGATTAGGCTGATGATGCTGATGATGACGGTGATGCTGCTGCTGATGATGACGTCCATGACGGCTATGAGGATAATGGTGATGTTGATGCTGATGCTGATGCTGATGCTGCTGCTACTGCGGCTGATGATGATGATTATGATGATGATGATGATGATGATGATGATGATGATTATTATTATAATTACTATGACGATGGTGATGATCATGACGATGATAGTGTTGATGATGATGATGTTGCTGATGCTGATGATGCTGATGCTGATGCAGATGCTGATGCTGATGATGAGGATGATTATGATATCAATGATGATGTTGAGGAGGAGGAGGAGGAGGAGGAGGAGGAGGAGGTTCCCCTCCGCGGCGCAGTCGCATTGCTAACGATTTGCGACCCGAAGGGGGGGTACAACCCAGCAGAAACTGCAGCCGGAGGCAAGCGGAAGCATGCAGGTGGAGAGATAGCAGGAGAAGGGTGGCTGCTGCTGCTGGGCGAAACGGCATCCAGAGCGGAAGGCCTCATTTGACCAGGGCCCCCGCCATGGCGGGCCGCCACGAGCCACCGCCCTGTTCCTCCCGCAGCCTCTCCTACTCTCTCCCTCTGCTGCTCAGGAGGCACCTGCGGTCGGGAACTTTGGCTCAGCGTGTCGCTCCGCCGGCTCTGGCCTGCCACTCTGCAGCGCGACACGCTATCCATGTCCCAGCCCCCAGGCGTCAGTCGCGAGCCTTTCCAGACCTCCCTCCCTACGGAGCGAAGCGACACGCTATCCACTGCATGGCATAGCGTGTCGCCGGGGCTGCCGCCGCGACAAGCTAAGCAAAACTTCCCGACCGCATTCGCCACCACCACGACGCAACCAGGCAGGCCTAGGATCGGGATACATCGTTCCGGAGCGCGCCGGAACGCTCTCAGAGCGTTTTGGAACGCTCTTGAACGGCCGCGGCGCCCGCTATGTCCTCCAGAACTGCCGCATCTCAGAGATCCCCGATCTATCCCGATCCGATGTTGTCCCGATCTTCTCCGTCTTATATAGTCCGTGTCAGGGCCCAGGATGCCCCTGGCTCGGCACGGTGGTGGTGTGTAGGTGCATTCTGCGGATTTGCATCTGGGCGCATTCGCACTGCCATCTGCGCATTCGCCTCCTGACGACGCGCGCTCTCGCCCCGCTTCGGGCCTGGGGACCCTCACGGATCGATCTGTCTCGGAAGACCCAGCACGCGGTGTCGAGAGGTTTTTTTCGTGATGTTTTCGCGATGTCGTGGTCCACTTCGCCAAGCCGGAGGTCGGGCTTCTCTCCTTCCCACTGCCCTCCCCTCCCTGCCCCTCACCTCCCCTCCCCCCTCCCCCGGTGATGCCCCCGACGAGTGTGGAGGGGGGTAGACACGGAGGGTGGAGGGCACGGGGAGGGGGGCGGGGGAAAGGGAGACAAGCGAGGAGTGGTGGAG